ATAAAACTCCAATGTCGTATAGAAAGTATTGAAATTAAGATGTATAATAAAAAAAATAAAACTCCAATGTCGTATAGATGAAAGAACCTTTTTTGATTTAGCCCTATTACAAATGGTAGATTAAACAATGACAACGATATCTTTTGTACAAAAAGTATAGAATCAACACAAAGAACAATGGTCGAATGTGTTTTCTAGAAATGCTTAGAGGGATTGTAACATAATCTTTGACAAGCAAAACATATACTGTTATATAATAAAAACGGTTAAATGTAATATAGCAACCTACTTTTATTGATTTGTATATTATAGCTTTTTACTTTCATTTTTTCCTATTATGGTATTGTAGGTTGTATTGTCATCCAAAGCAATTTCATTGCTATATCTATCTTTTTTTAAATATAATGTTTTAATAAGAAATTTTTTAAAGGTCAATGCTATATTAGAGTGTGATTTTCCAAGTACAATAACTTGACAAGAAAAAAAGTGAAAATATAATGAAATGAACATAAAAATAATGCACAAATAAATATATGTGCATTGCTATGATAGGTCAAACAACAACAAGACGATCTAGCATAGACAAAAAAAAACAAAACAAAAAAAAAACAAAAAACAAAAAACTTTAACACAAGCAATAAAATGCATTTTCTAGAAATTTTTAAGAGGGATAGTAATATCATCGAATGTTTAACATGAAAATACAATGTTATAATAGAAAAAAAATAAAAATAAAATGCTATAATACACAAATAAATGTAAGTATATTGATATAATAGATCAAACAAAGCAACAAGATCTATAATAGACAAAACTATAAAATGAACAAAACACAACCAAATTGTCTCAAATGCATTTTCTAGAAAGCCTTAGAGGGATAGTAACATCATCACGGAGAATCCAAATCCAAGTAAAGAACCAACAGTCATCTTTAGTGTCATGGCCGATGAGGGAGTGGGAGGGTTTATGGTCCCACCGGTGACAGGTGGTGGTGGTGGTGAATCACTCGGAGGAGCATTTGATGGCGTGGTTGGGGTGGAAGGAGGGGTGGTTTGTGGTGGTGTCGGCGCTCCTGCCACCGTTGTGACCTCAACCTTCATTCCTTGGCTACAATGATTACTTCTACCACATATAAAGTAGCGGCTTACGATGGTTGTAAGTGGGATTGTGGTAGGGCTAGTAATGGCGGTGGAAATAGGGCTTGACGATGAACAAGAATCATAGTCCGCCTTAGTCACTTCAAGCACATCATGAGAAGATCCATACTGGAAAACTACAACAGTCAAAGACCACCGTTAGAATGGTAACAGGGGGCTAACAGGTCGTATCAGAGGATAGGGCAGCATGGATGGCCCAGGGCCTCCAAATTTTCAGGGCCCATTTTTATGTATCTATTTATATTATTTTAGAAATAAAAAACTTTTGGTATTAAATCGTCGCAGATAAAGGTAAAAAAGGGCCTTATTTTTCTTATTTTGTTCGGAGCCTTAAATCGGCTTGAGTTGGCCCTGGGGTTAGCCTACTATGGCCTACCTATATGAGTGTATGCATGTCCATACCATGAAGTTTAATTCATATATATACCATATCTCATGTCCCATGAGTCTGGTTATGTAAAAAAAAACGCCATAAAAACATGTAAAGTATCGTTTCTTTTTTATTTTCTAATTAAAAATATTTCACAAAATGATAGCTTATATGGGGAAATGAAACGGAAAGATAGATGAGTCATGTCTATTAAAAAGGTCAAAAAGATTTATCGGGAAAGCCTCATGTCTGGGACTTTTTCTATTAGATGTTTTTTTTCTTTTGTTATAGTAAATCAAAAAGAAACTTTCATGTATAGCTTACAAGCTTAAATTTCTATTAAGTCAAAAGAAAACACACACATACATAAACACACACTAAACGTAAATGATGTTATATAGACTTGAATTTATTACCTAAGTTGTCTCCTACTACAAACGTTTGGGATGAAGCCCACGTTTGCAAATTAGTAGACACGTCCCACCCTCCACTCGGAGCTCCAACAGTGTGATCCACCGCCATCGCCAACTCCAAGAGCATTGCAATAGCAACAAACCCCATTAGTGTTCCTCTCATAGTCGCCACCTTAGTCATCACCTTTTCTTGAGAAAACTAGTTATTTTCCAAGAAAGTACTTATAATTGGTTATGAGATTTGGCCTAGTAAAACCATATATTTATAGAAAGATATGGGAGGGGGGAGTATGAAACCATCCCAAATTGTTTATTGTTCTAAGTTTCTTTGAAGTTTTCATTCATGCATTATTCAAATGGTGTTAGTTGAAGACTTGGGCGATGGCTTTTTTCTCCATAAAAAATTTGAGAAATGACACCATACTTGTGAAAATTTGAGAGGATAAATGAGGACACTTTTTTAATAAGTTTAGATTTAATGTGGAAAGTCATATTTGTCTACTATATTACATCGTTCTTTTTACATTAACTTAAAAAGTTCATATATAGCTTATTAGATTGAATAATGTAAAAAATGTAACAACACCCTATATTGAATCGCTTGTTATGGTGGTGCTGATTTGGTAGATAAAGATGGAGTTGTTGACTTTTTTTTGTTCTATATGAAATGTTTGTTGACTTGGCTTCCCGAAATTTGTCTAGTTGACTTATTCTAATCAAACTGAAGTATGTATTAGTATAATGAAAGATTAGGTGAAGATAGAATCGATTGGTTATTTTAGTTATCTAAGACTTTAATTTACAAGACCTGATGACATTCTTTGAAAAGCCGGTTTGACCACTTGTGAGGTTGACCTGATCATGCAAAACTTACAACTGAGTTTGGGGTTTCAAAATACGGACCGATCTAGGTTTGATTGGTATAGATCCTAACTAGGATGCCACATTCAATCCAGACTTTTAAAGGTATACGAAGCGGTTATATCCAACCTGGTGATATGGGCACGATTAAAAAAAACATGAAACTATATTTTTTTTTCGGATACTATAAAACCAAATTTCATCCGGATTTATCAAATTCATTTAATCTATAAGAAAATATATTTTTTAATCTGACACTTCTTTATATAGTTCATACAAGGATTTAGAGGGTTACTAAATAAGATTTTGACCCCTTGAACAATCTTGAACGGACACAAAACATTATTTTTAAAACAAAAAATGCTTTTTTACCATATAAACCATCCCAAATTGTTGAAAAACACATTATTACCTCTTTCTAATATCAACAACGAATTTTTTGTTAAACTTGAAATCATGTGTCGAAAAGTGGCGAAAAATAAGATTTTTTGGTCATATTCAAACTGGTTTCAAGCCTATCCAAGACCGGATACAAAGGATCCTACATTTCACAACCAGTTACGATCATATCTGAATCCGACATCTCCGAGTTTTAATTTAATATAAATCTGGGATCGAATAATATCCAATTTATATGCACCTCTAATCCTAACAAGGTCTGGTATTATGTAGATTTTAATTTTATTGTCTTATGTTTAGTTTATTTTACTATATAATAAAAAAATGGGTATCTTTTTGGCCGGTCAATCGGGTCCTTTACAATAAAAATCCAAATTATATAATATCCAATTTCCTAGATAGATCCTAACTAGAATGACACATTTAATTTAGACTTTTTAAAGATATCTGAAGCGGTTATATTTGACCCGACGGATATGGGTATCATTAAAAAAAATCATGAAACTATTTTTTTATCAGGATACTTTAAAACCAAATTTCATCTGGATTTATCAAATTCATTTAATCTATTAGAAAATAACATTTTTATTTCACACTTCTTTATATAGCTCATACAAGGATTTAGAAAGTTCCTAAATAAGATTTTGACCCCTTGAACGATCTTTGCATAAACACGAAACACCATTTTTAAAACAAAAAGTACATGTTAAGAAGCAAAGTGGATAACTAGCAAAACCAAAAGCACACAAGACACGGTACTTACGTGGTTCGGTCAAGTGACCTACGTCCACGGACAGGAGAGGAATATTCTTTATTTTAGAGTTCTCAAGCAGAGGTTACAAGTACAATTTCATAGATATTCGCCTAACACTCTAGAATTTTAAGACACATCAAATGACTTAGCATACATCCCTATTTATACTTAAGGGATCAGACCTAAAACCCTAATTGGCCAAGCCCATTAACCCATAGGCCCATAAATGATGTCACATTTCGCCATGCAGTAGCTTCTGGAACATTCATCCATAACATACAACACATGAGTATCAGCAACGCACATGATGGAGCACATTGTGCCATAGTGGAGCATCATGATGCACATGTGGCACATCATGAACACTGGTGGCCCATCATCCATCATGGTGGCACAACACGGTGTATTCCTTGAGCATCGCCAACTTCTGAGCATCATAGAGGACTTTGTGACTCATCGGGGATATCATGGCTCATCAAGAAACCAAGATGGCCCATCTTCATGCAAGGATGGCACAACACCTTCCCATTTGGCGCAACATGCTCTCGAGGATGGCACAACTTCTTCACTTGGTGCAACATCCTTCCAATGTGGTGCGGGTCTTCACTTTGGTGCAACATCAATCAAGAGTGGTGCAAGATCCTTCTAATTGTTGCAAAACCCTTATGGATGGCGTAACATCCATCCTCTTAGCGCAACTTCTATCTATTTGGCGCAACATGTTCCTAGATGGCGCAACTTCCACTATGGTGGCGTAATATGTTGCTCCATGTTGATCCAAGTGCTCCAAGTTGCTCCAAGTTGCTCCTTACCCCACTTTTGCAAGATTCGTTCCTTTGCCACTTGATTCGTTCTTTTGTCTAATGACCCATTCCTTTCTCTGATGATTTGTTCCTTTGTCACATGCTCCATGAACCTTAAGTGCTCCATTGAGTTCTAAGTGCTCCATTGAACTCAAATGCTCCATGAGAATGCTCCCAATGCTCAAGTCACATTTAACAATCTCCACCTTGACTTGAGCATCATCTGAACTCCAACTTAAACAAGAATTTCCTCTCCCTTCCTGACATTCATCCACGAAGGGACCTACCTCCTGCAAACATCAACCAAGTCCAATCAAAGCTTGAACTTCTCCATGGGCAACGACTTTGTTAACATATATGTTGGGTTCACCTTGGTATCAATCTTCAGTATTGAAAACTTTTCTTCTTCCAGAATATCCCGAATGAAATTCAGCTTGACATCAATGTGTTTTGTCTTCTCGTGATACACAGGATTCTTTGCATGTAACATCATATTTCGGGACGTTTCTTAATTCAGGGTTTGTGGACTGTAATTCGACCATGTAAAGGCCTTGGGTTTCAAGGGAGTGGATTTTAGACTCTATTCAATGTTGATGGTGTTGGATAAGTGATTTAAACCTTGGATTGTTCATTGGAAGCTGAGGGGTAAAATGGGAAAGGTAATGTTTCGGGATTCTTGCATAAATTAAGGATTTTATTTCGAGATGTTTTTAGTCATAAGTAACTATATAGAATTGTAGAGCACGTCGCTACCTTTTCGTGGATATAAAGATCATCGAAAACGGAGTTGAAACGAAGAAGTTATGGTTGTTTGAAATTAAGCTGCAAAAGGAGTCTGGTATGTTGGGTGTACACTAGCTAGTACGTTAGGCGTACTAGGCTGAATGAAGTCGCATTTTTAATGTGTTATGCTGGGCAAAACTTTAGGTACGCTGGGCGTACCGCCACAGTGCAAAAATGAAACGTCCCGAAAATAAGACCAAAAATTTTCATTTTTAAATAAATAAAACTATAATCCAAACATCATCATGAAACCTAGATGGAACAAAGTGTATCAATAGATCATAAAATATCATAGTAAATCACAAAATGCTGAATAAGGTGGTGTGTGCTCTATAATCATCCCGGGTTTTTCCCTTTTGAACCAGAAGTACCTGAAACATAAACTGAAAACCATAAGCACACAACTTAGTCAGTTCCCCAAAATACCACATACCGTACATAATAAACACATAATGGTCCCCGCCTGGCATCGGGCCCCACCCAGTATACATATAAAAATATAAACATATCAACATACAAGCACATGCGATAATCACAAAGATAATAGCAAACAGTACAATCATTAGGCCCCACCCAGCATACTCCCTAGTGTGCCTTCCAACTCCGTTAAGCACTTAAATCGTTAAGTCCTTTATCCAAACTCTCAGATCTGGTCCCTAAAGGTAATTTATTACGTAAAGTTGGCAACTTTACATGCATGCATGGCTTAATGGGGATCAAGAGCTCAAAAAGAGCTTAACAAGGGTCTTAGTACATGCATGGGTCACAACACTCCATAAAGTTTGCATTTTTATGCATAAGGGACCCCCTAAAACGTCCAGATCTAAGGGTCAAACTTCTGAAACAATCTTTACTCACAAGAATCAACCAAAAAGGACCAAAATAAGCCATAAACAAACCTAAAATTAGATCTACACAAGGAGTTGACAAGCTAGGACTTTATACCTCAAATGGCTCGAAATAATGATGCTAACTTTGGATCTCTAAGCTCTACTCCAAGGAATGAGTCTTCAATCTCCTTCTACCACTTCAAAATGCACAAGAACACACCAAAATTCTTCACAAGAGCTCAAAAGCACCAAAAGAAAGGTTAGGGGCGAAGTTAGGGTTTAGAAGATATGGAGGTTGGTCTAAAATGCCCCGGAGGTGAGTTTAAGATGTTTAAATAGGGCACAAACCCTAAAAATTAGGGTTTGTCCCAGGCCTGCATACGTCATGCGTACTCCACGTACGCCCTGTGTACGTGGATGGAATCCACGATCATGCATCGGGCTAGTACGCCAAGCGTACCACTTGGTACGCCCCGTGTACTAATTAAAGGACCAAAATCAAAGGAATTTTGTATAAAGGACTAAAAGACGAACTTACCAAATTTGAATGTTACAATTCTTCCCCACTTGAATCAAACTTCATCCTCAAAGTCCGTTGCTCCAAATAACTTTGGGTAATGCTCCATCATCTCTTCTTCCGGCTCCCACGTCCACTTTGAACCCTTGCGATGCTGCCAATGGACTTTCACCAACTCAACAACCTTGTTCCTCAAGATTTTCGTCTTTCGGTCAAGGATTGCTACCGGGCTCTCAATATAATTCAGGCGGTCATCCACCTAAATATCCCCCAATGGAACCACTGCGGAATC